AATGCATTTATGTCTTTTAATCCTGATCCAAAATCTGAATACAATGACCAGCTCGTACGAGCTACGAACATGACTGTTTCTGCTATACGTTTTATGAAGACCTTCAGGGCTGGTTATCTTGAACCAGAGATTTTTCACCTCAATCCAGAAAAAAGTGACACTCAGATCTTTAAAAAAATTATCCGCTTTGTGCCTTCCTCACTTTCTTGGTTTGGTGCCTACATGGTCAATGCATACCCCCTAGATATGTCTCAGTACTTCAGGCTTTTCAATTCTACGCGGCTGCCTAAACTCAACAGAGACGAGCTTTATACAGATGAAAAGGCAAAACATTTACTAGTACTGAGACATGGGAATTTTTATGTATTTGATGTTCTTGATAGAGATGGAAACATGCTGAAACCTTCAGAAATACAAGCACACTTGAAATACATCCTTAGTGACAACAGTCCAGCCCCAGCCTTCCCTCTTGGCTACCTCTCCAGTGAAAACCGAGATACATGGGCATTGCTGAGAAAGAATCTACTGGATAATGGCAATGAAGAAGCTCTTCAGAAAGTAGACTCTGCTGTGTTTTGTTTAAGTTTAGATGATTTTTCCATCAAAGACTTTGTGCACTTGTCCCACACTATGTTGCATGGAGATGGTGCCAACCGCTGGTATGACAAATCTTTTAATCTTATCATAACTAAGGATGGCACCGCAGGAGTTAATTTTGAACATTCCTGGGGAGATGGTGTAGCTGTGCTCAGGTTCCAGAATGAGGTTTTTAAAGATAGCACCAAGGCACCAGCCATCAGTCCCCAGTCCCAGCCTGCTTCAGTAGACTCGTCTGGAGCAGTGCAGAAGCTTGACTTTAAGCTGAATGATGCCTTAAAAGCAGGAATTACCAAAGCCAAACAGAAATTTGATGCTACTGTAGAATCACTGTCTCTTAATCTGATTCAGTTCCATGAAGGGGGCAAGGACCTTCTAAAGCAGAAGAAGTTAAGCCCAGATGCTGTGGCTCAGCTTGCCTTCCAGATGGCTTTCCTTCGACAGTACAATCAGACTGTTGCTACATACGAGTCTTGTAGTACTGCAGCTTTCAAACATGGTCGTACAGAAACTATACGTCCTGCCTCTATCCATACAAAGAAATGTTCGGAAGCTTTTGTCAAGGAACTGGCAAAACACAGCACAGAAGAACTTCAGAAGTTGATAGTGGAGTGCTCAAAATACCATGGCCGTTTGACAAAAGAAGCTGCTATGGGTAAGTAGGAATATATCAAACAGTCCTGCTTTTGCACCAAAATGTCCATTAAGGTTGCTGTAGACATTTACTTCACAACTAAATAATTTAATTTTGATGGAGGTCAAATGTTAATGTAAACTCGACAAAAACAGTAACAGAATACTGCAGTTTAAAATGCGTTCTCTAAGACTTGTCTCTTAATGGAGGAGAATGCCTCTGTGGTTCCCACTTCACTGTTGATGTGTTGAGAATTTTGTATACTTTAGGTTTTGTCCTTACAGCAGCTGGCTATTTGAAGATTTAATAAATACTTAGTGTGTGTCCTACTCCCCAAGGCAACCAAGAACTTTGGCTTTATTTCTGAGGAGTTACTATCTTATCCCTGCAGGGGATAAAGTCTTTAACAGCTTAGAAATCAAACTGATTCTTTGGCTGTGCTACTCCTGGTATTTTACTAAATGCTTTCTTTTGAATTGTCCTTCCTAGAAGCATAACTTGTATTCTTTCAGTAAAATTGACTGTTGAACGTTACCCCATAGTCTAAAATTTACCTCCTTTTGTTGATGCAAGATCCTCTTCCTCTTCAGATTCATAAATTTTAGGAAAGCTTTCCTCCATTTTAAACACCTTGGATACGTTCAGCTAAATAGCTATTCAAAGAATGTGATGTATTGTTAAAATTGTCTGTTAACATTGCTCTTCTGTTTACTATCATGATTCCTGGTTGAGGCTAGCAGCAAAACAGCAAGCTCTCATTCCCTAGGATATGTGCATTAAATGTGCAGAATGTCTGGCATCTGAAAAATAATTCCTGCTAATATGAAAATAAACCCCAGTTCTGTAGACCTCTTCTTTTGTGGCTGACAAACAATGTGTTGTCAAAATAAGTGCGTTTACTTCACAAAAATCAATCATCTCTCTAATTCTTGTTATTTTATTTTAACAGGTCAGGGATTTGACCGACATCTCTTTAGCTTGCGCTATTTAGCATCATCCAAAGGTACTGCGCTGCCTGATTTCTATCAAGACCAAGCCTATGCTCGGCTTAATCACAACATCATTTCTACAAGCACATTGGTTAGCCCAGCCGTGAAGTTGGGAGGATTTGGCCCAGTGGTGTCTGATGGCTTTGGAGTAGGATATCAGGTACATGATGATTGGATAGGTTGTAATGTTTCCTCTTACCCAACTAGGAACGGTAAAGAATTCCTTCAGTGTATATACAAATCACTAGAAGATATCTTTAATGTTTTAAAGGGCAAGAAAGTGGGTAGTTAGACGTAAAAACGTTGGAACACTTTACAGTTGCAGTACAAAATGCAGACCATGTCTAATTGGCATACTCATCAGTGTTCAACATGACTAAGACTGCCCAGCTTAATTGGCTCCATTTATCTTCATTGAACTTGAATGCTGTTAGATACACTATGAAATTTGTGTCTATTTTAAAGAAATCAAGTACAGACCCTGAATGCATGTTTCAAGAAATACATTCACAATGTCAAAATTAACTAACAGATCCATCTGTTCCAACAGATCCACGTGTTCTTAAAACACATTATTTAAAATAAAAAGCATTGTTAACAGGTTTCTGAATTTAAAACATCTGTTCCATGAGTATTCAGACTACAGTACTGTGATACCACTCTTAAACGGTTTGATTTAAAAACAAACAAAAAAAAAGCAATAATTTTAAATAAGAAAGAGTGGTTATATTTGCACTCTGGCAGTAAGTTTGCCTACTAACTTGTCACACTTACTTACTTTTCTCTTTAAACTTGAATTGATATCAGAACTGATTGTGCCTCAACTGCTTGAAGCCTTTCCACTGTAACAGCTTTTTGAGAGCCAAAAAATGAAGTGGGAGGTTTTAAGTAACCTGCAATCACCAACTGTGTTGTTAAATTGACTGGAAAAGACTGTATTATAATAAAGCTATCTATTAATAACCACAGTGGTTTTTTATTGCCATATCAAAATTATACAGTAATTTATAATTAATTTGGAATTAATTTATAGATAGTTCGTGGTTTTTGTAAAGGTTGAAAAGAATACTACTGAAAGCATTTTGCAGCGTTGGCTCTCATACATGAAGTCTGTCCAATAATCTGCATTTGTTTTGCTACATAAACCTGTGCTCTTGTGCCTTAAAAAAGAAAAATCACTGTACTTTTATCTTTTGAAGTTTTCTCTTTCCAAGCTTCCTCTTACTGGGGAAAAGTAACCTCAACAGAATGTTTTCCTGTTTCTTCCTTGTTCTATCTGTTAGAAGTTCTGACTTTATTTATTGTAGCAAATGCTAGTCTTAGTGCCTAGAGCTGCGTCTTCAATGCACTGGGGTTTGTTGCAGAAATTCTAGACCAAGGTTTATCAGAACTCTGAAAGACTGCAGGAGAGCTTGAGCACAGACATCAGTAAAACTTAGTGATGCTGTGAATGCGATATGAAACTGATGCAGACAAGTTCCTCGTGTGCTATTCACAGCTGGGACTCTGCCAGCTACAAAGTAGCTGACAGCAAAAGGGGAAGGGGTATTTGGCAGTCAAGAAGCCAAAGATGCTCAGAGTTGCTGGCATTATGCCACTGATGCCCATTGCATGAGATACCCCTTTTTGCACAAAATTCATTACGGTATGTGTAACTTGAACTCCTCTGCCTTTTAAACCCTCTTGACTTCCACTCTTTTTCTTCTGGGAGGATTAGTCTTTCTCTGGAGCTGAACAGCACAGTAGTGCTTGCTTCTGTGGCTCTGTGTAAAAACTAACACAGCTCACGTCTTCCAGTGCAGCCCCCTGTGTCCCGGAGAACTAGATATATTAGCAGAACGTAAAAGCCTGAGCATGTTGGTTGGATGTGTCAGATCAGGTTCAGAGGCTTTACTTTTCCTTTGGATATCTCAGCTTCCAGGTTCTCCCAGGGTCTTTTTTTCTTTATCACAGTAATTGGAAGCAATACCTTGTCTTGAAGTATGAACTGACAGTGCTAGGAAGGGGAGAGGCATGCTTTAAATATGTAAGGCCAAAGGCTTATAGACTTTTTTCTGGTCAGGGCCATTTGTTCTACAGCTGTTCCAGTTTCCAGCTGAAAAGGATTATTTTAAAACTTACCATGATTGTTCTTGCTTATTTAAACAAAGAAAGGAAGGTGATCATTTGGGAGGATGAAAGAAATAATAATGTATCACAAAACAGTAATCAGACCAGAAGTCTTTTGAATGAAATTCACTAAGGAAGATTTGGGTGGGGATTTTTTTGTTGGTGTGGTTTTTGTTTTTTTTTTTAAATGTGAGAACAGCTGGCAAGATTGTGAGGACACTTGCCAAGAAGTACAAAGTCTGTCTTGAACTAGAAATGAGTGAGGTTTACTTAATGACATACTGGGAAAGATAACTCGATTTTAAGAAGATTGTGACAGCTATGGTGTCAATAGCAATCAAGCTTAATAAGTGTTCTCAGTAAACTCACCTCAGTGTCTTCATCTGAACTGGCAGAAAGCTACCAGAGATGTACCTTTTCCCTTGAACAGTTAAGACAGTCCCTTTACTATTGCTCATAATCATTTCCTGATAATAGGAGGGGTGAGGGAAAAGCCCTTATTTGCTTATCTTAGGGAATCAAATGTGGGTACTTCTTGGTGATAGGCTATTAAAAACTTTAAGGCTGTAAGTAGTTACTGTTGATACAGTAGTTAAGCTACAGTCTACCACAACCATATATATTCCCCCAAAAACCATTCAGAAAATGGCACAGTTCAGTCAAGTGTATATCCTGTATGTACTGAGGCCATAGCAAAGTGCTCTGTGGAAAATATTTTATTAGGGCATGCTGGGGACAGTAAGTACAACTTAAGATATCCATTTCTGAAGTACAGCCATGTGAAAGTATCTCCAAGGAAACTGTGTCTCCCATGGTTACAGCTCCTCCATCAGTAACCATGGCAAGATGTATTAGGGGTATGAACTTTAGCATTTAACAAATTTATGAGTAACTTCATAGATTCCAACAGATTCCTTTGTTTTTTCATCATAGTCATTCCAATCCTATAGGAAATAAGATTTCACAGTATTAGTCGCAGAGGATAGAATGCAATTGTGTCTAAAACAGAGACTGGAATTCAAACTGAAACTAAGCCTCACTCAAAATTTGGGTCTTAGATTTGTGTGGAAAGCACTGTGCAGTCACTAAGCTAAGTTTTGGTATCTGAGAGGAGCAAGAGCACTGACCTGAAATTAAGTCAGATTCAGTCTCTGTGATTTTAACAATGATTTTTTTTTTCATATGTAGTTCACAGCCAAGACAGCAACCATGGCAGATGAAAGGATTATCTATCATTTACAATACCCTAGTCAGGTGGGTAAGCAGACAAGCAGATCCCTGCCAAGTAGGATACCAGGGAATAAATTTGACCTTGAGATTCTTGCTCACAGCCAAGGAAGATTTGCAATGCTGGAGTCGTCATCCTGAGCTTTGAAGGACGGTGTCTTTATATTACTTTTTAATATCTCAGTGCACAGAAAAAAGTGCAGGCATCTTCCTAGAAAAATCAGTTCACCGCTCTGAATAACCCTGGGGTTATTTGGCATTCCAGGTGTTTGCTCGCTGGAATTCCCAAGACTTAAAAGCTGGATTTCTGCTTTTGTCCGCTGCTGAGCTATCAAATACATACTTCTAAAATGACGCTGTTAGTAATGCTGGTTGTTCATAGTTGATTTAGTTTCTCCATCTATGACCTTCCTGTGCCTACATGAAACAGTAAAACAAGTCTCTTCCATGTGCAGGGTGTGTATTTTGGACTAGTGATTTAGGGAAAGAAAGCTAGATAATTAGATTTACTAATGAAACTAAGACAACATACCTTTTCTAACAAGTTTATGTCGTTGAAAGGTGTGCCAGATTCTGCACCTTCAGCAGCAAACCCTGCCTGCAAACACATTTGCAGGAAGTTTTTAAGAATAGGTTGTACCAAGAAAATAACAAATACAATCATTGAAACATATTTAAAGAAAGTAACTCAGCACACGCTTTTACTGTACTTCTTTTAAATTGGGTAGAGAGAATGGTCAAACTCTTTCCTAGTTAAGGGTCAGTATAAGGTTGTGAACCTGTTGGTGACTTGGGAAAATTCAACTGAAGCAACAACGGAGTAAAATGAGAGAACACTGCTTCTCTATTTTTCCTGCCAAAAACGTATTTTTAAGTATTCTTGATAATGTTAAACCCAAGTTTCTGAGTTTATGTAGCAGCATCCAACTACTAATAGTTCTGTGTTTAGAATCCATACTCCATATAGGCATGATGTGTGAGATAGCTTCATAATAAACTTCCACTTCCTGGTTTTTTCTTGCAGTGAAAGAATGTTAATAGTTTAAGCTTAAATATTGTCAGAATCCAAGACACTCTAGAGAAGGAGCAGTTTGTATTGGATTTAGGTACAGAATTGACTAGCAAGCTTTATGTGAAATGTGTATCCACTGGCTGAATGAACAGATTAGGACAGCCAAACAATCATTTCAAAGAGAGTCCTTCACTGTTGTTACTGTTGCTGTTATTTAAAGAGTTGAAGGAAAGGACAGCACTAGGAAGGAAAGACTGTATCAGTGGGGTATAGCACAAGAACAAGATATTTTATCTGCTATAGTAACAGCTCTCTCATTTTAGAGTTCAGGGTTATCAAGCTGTAAGTTAAGTTTTATTAGTTTTAAAAGTAAATTAAAAAATCTCAGCCACCTCTGTAGCATACAGGAAAGTTTCTTACATTTCAATTTCTAACTACAGAATTTTACTAAGCAGCAGCTAAAAAGCAAAGGTAGCTTCTTCCTGGTTTTCTGCAACTTGTATTTTTGATAAATTCCCACTAGTGCCAGCAAGACATTTAACTATGTAAGAATGTGTGAAGCAAGCCACGTGATTTTAAAATATTCTGGGATTTGAATGGCAGGTTAAGCACTGGGGAGTTAAATAAACCATGAAGTGTGGCAAGTGTAACAACAGGAGAGCTGTCGGCAAGGCACAGTGTGAATATGGCCTTTATATAAATTGTCAGAAGCCCATCCCAAGGGAATTGCTAGGGGTGGAGAGGAAGATCAGCATCATGGGACAAAAATGCAGAGCTGCAGTACAGAACAAACTGTAGAAAAATAAAAGAAGCCCTGCTTTTGCCACCTGGAGACATTCACCAGCCCTCCAAGGAACAAGAAGCCATGTGACTGGAATTAGAAGCTTCTGTACCAGCCACTCAGCAGGACTTGCATTCTTACAGCTTTGGCGTCAGAGCAGAGATTCTTTAATCTCGGCAGAAGGCAGCTGGGACACGCAGTGACTTGTGTGCTCTCTGCTGACTGGTGAAGGACCAACAGCTAAAGCATAAACACATACACCAAAGAAGCAAAAACACCTATTGACTTTACAACACAGTGAATCATCACACCTTTGATACCTATTAACCTATCGGTTATGCCACAAAGCAAAGAAGCTTAAGAAGGGTTAAGAGAAATTTTTTAAAGAAACCTTCATTTTTTTAGTTGAAGCATTCACCTGAGGGACAAGGACAGGAAAGAAGCTGAACTATCTTCAATTAAAACCAAACATTGTATATCAGATTTGCAGCAGATATATCTACTTAAGCACATTAAACAATACAGGCAAGTAAGTGGAGGGGGAAAAAAATGTTCTTGGCCATTATCAGAACACACAAATACCTAGTTTGAATTTGTTGCTGCTACTAGGTAGGAAAAGAGGGTTTATATCAGAAAATCAAAGGATACTTTCAAACTGAAAGAATATTTTTGAGAAAACTACTATAATTAAGATACGCAAGCACTGAACTACTCTAATCTGATTTCAGGTATGGTTGTATTATGTCTATACAAAAAATACAAAATACAGTAATGCTATGGCCATATGCTATGTTTGGTGCTAATCAAAAGCCAGCTCTGAAGTTGTGGAGAAGCCAGGCCAGCTTGGATCATGTCAAATGTAAAGCAGTTTATAGAATTCTTTGGAACTACACAAGTCTATATATTTATTTATCTAAGCATCAGAAGATTCACTGAAATATCTGCTCAGGGATTCAGGCGTGCTCTCCAACAGAGTGCACAGACCAAACTTTGAGAATATTAAATTAAAAGCTTTATTACAGCCGCCAAGTCTTTGTTCTGCAGATAAAAATAAAGCTGACAGCTAGGATGCAGAGCTATAAACATCTCCTACATTCTATAGTCTTCTCATGGATTTTTCTTGAAGTGCGAGTTCCTAGGTTTGGCTGCAGAGTTTTCAAATGAATACACTAATAACCATTCTGTTCCTCAAAAGATGGGCTTCACTTAAATAACAGTGATGATTTTATTTATACCAAATTCATTGTAGGATCAGCTTTTTTGGTCTATTTCTGAGCACTGTGTCACAGTCTGAGGGAAGGATAAGACAGGTTTATATTTGTCAGTCTGTTTACACCTAATCCGACTGGAATAATAAGTTAAATATAGTAGGGAGTTAACTTGCATAAAGCATGACCATGCACAAGCAAATGAATCACTGGAGATTAGCTTAGCCCTGAGGTGTACTTTGCACCAGTCTTTAACTGCCATTGATCTTCAGTCTTTGTCTGATCAAGTTGCAAATGGAAAAATGACAATATTGATTTCTTATGGCTTTGGAGATGTTAAATCTCAAAGAAAATTTGATTTTTTTTTTAGAGGCCATATACTGAAGACTGTTCATAACTTGAACTTCATTTACTCTGTAAGACACCACGAAGCAAAATGGTGCTCTCCTGAATATGGCTATCTAATTACACACTCTCAGAACTCCCCTTTCCGAAAGACTCCCTTTTGCAATAACCTGAGCAATAAAGACCTTTCAAATTAATTCAGATGAGCAGTGCTAGGTCACCTGTGAGGCAATTTGAATATGACTCCAAGGTGTGTTTAATTTTAGATTTTACTGGCACAAAGAATATATCAAAGTTGTTAGTGTTAGCTCCTTGTGGTTTTGTGGTTTGTTTTTTATTTTTTTTTTTTTTTAGTCAAACGAAGTAAAAGAAAGAACTGTGGAGGGGACAGAAAACTGGGGAGGTCTAGGATGTTCCAGGAAGAGCAGTACCATTTCAAATAGCGTGTATTTTGTCACTCTAGAATCTTTAAGAAGTGCTCTTGAAAAATGAGAAACAAATCATGAATAAGAACTCACCTGTGGTTGAAAATCAACCGGTTCCAGACCTCGGCATTCAAACTCCACTATCGTTTTGAATTTCTCACTGTCTTCAGCCTATAATTGAGTCAGAATACCATTAGTTTTCAGCCAATAAAGACAGTGACAACCATTAGTCTAGGAATTAATTACTTTAAAGGCAGTACTATCAACTCTGATATCCCTAGTGACAGCAAAATCCTAGAGCTTGTTTAATAGGTGGTAATGAACTAAAATTTCTTAATCTGCCACAAGGAAGCCTTCAAAAGGAAACCAGTATGGGAATTATAAAATCACCTCTAATTTCAGTGATATGATTTTGTTTTTTTCACTTGAAATGTATCAGGTTATTCTACACTTGAGACGGGGGGGGGGGGG